CTCCTATGTGGTGAAGAGGGACGACTACCTGATGCTGGCCCTGGACTTCCCTTAGGGCCAACCTTTCTCCCTAGACAATGTGATTCCTTACCGGGTCGGGGGAAAGGAATACTTGATTCATACGGCCCACAAATTGCGCCCCTGGTGTCATAAGTGCAGAACCTACGACCATCTGAGTACAGAGTACAACTGCCCGCTGCAACAGCAGAAGAGGGCGTGAGCAACAGGGAGACTGCTGACAGACCCGTTTAAAGTGACCCGCTGGTGTACGGTGGACCCGAGGCACGAAGGATGGGTGTTTGTAGAAGACCAGACAAATGAGGGCTCTCCGGTGGGGTGGATATGGGAGAAACCGGGGGAACTTGAATGGGGGATACACCCACCGGATGCATGGGTCCCCCTGGCCCCGGTAGAGGAAAAAGTGCACGAGCAAGCGCAAGAAGGGGAACAGATCTCCTAGAAACGGGACCCGAAAGAAATGCAGTGGAGGAGTGTGGGGAAGAAAAAGGGGAAAGGGACCTGCGTCCAAAAGCAGCAAACGGGACCTGGACAAGGGCCCCCGAAAAAAGGTAAACAAGGAACCCCTGCTGCTGCCCCTGGCCCATCAGCGATACGGTACATCCAGGACTCGGAGGAGGAGGAGACGGAGTCCACCTCACAAGGAACAGGGGAGAATAAGAAAGAGTCACTGGAGTTGAAGCGGGGTTTACAGAGTGGGAAGAGACTGACGGGAGGGAGGGTGGGAGGGGAGGAGACATGTTTGGCGAAACTGGAAGGCACCCTCAAGCAGCAGGACTTGGAGAGCGGGGGGGAACTGAGGAGCGAACAGGTGGGAGGGGAGGTGGGCGGGGGGTGCAGGCTGTTGGACGGACAGGAGAAAGCGGAAAGAACGGAGGTGGAGAGGCCGAAGGATGGGGAGAGACACAACCGGCTGAAGGAATCTGACTCCTTCCAGGCTGCCTTCGCCCCCGAACCCATGGAGGTGGACCCACTCCCAGAAAACTCAGCCTCTGTACCAGGGGGACTCGACGAGGAAGGAGCTCCGCCGTTGCACCTGCCTCCGGAACAGAAACTGGTAGCAGTAGCAGAGTGTTTGATTAATAACCTGAAGGCAAAATACGGCCCCCTCATGGATGAGTTCTGGGACAAAACATATCTGGAACTCTTTCCGAAACTAGATAAGAGCACTTCACTTTTAAACGTCCTAGAAAATTGACTGCACCCGAAAGCTAGATGGACAGAAGCGTGGCAAAGGATAGCCACGATAGTTTTTGCAAGGTTCCACCCCCCACACTCAAACATAGGGGAGGAAGAAGGACAAGACAAAACACAAACCGTTGCAAGGGGAATTCAGGAGGGTGGGTCACAGATTCCAAAAGCCCCGCCGGTCCCCCCCGTCCTCCCCTCCCCTGGACTCGGACCCTCCGGACCCGGACGACGATATGCCGCTGGACATGGTGCGGAAGAAAAAGCTCAGGCATGTGATTGAGATGGGCCGGGACATACAACCCTTATCAAAAAAGGCAATGCTGCTGCTCCCTGTCCGAAAGAAAAATGGCAAATGGGAGGTTGGCCTGACCCCCGTCGAAGATGCCAAGACAAAGGGAGTCACGCTAAAGGGCTGGTCATCCTTTTGGGCAGAAGTGCAGCAAGGCCAGTCAGAGGCGGTAAAAGGGCTCCTCCGGGTACAGCTGGAAACACACATTGTCGAATCCATGCCACCAGGGGCACAAGCAATAGCTGAGGTGGCAACTGATCCCGACAAGATCTCACAAACAGACATCTTCATTCGCTACGACCCGGCCAAAGAGGCGGGGCTGGCATGGCACACACGGACCCAGTTGATGGACATGCAGACAATCAGGATCAGGCTCGGCGAGATCTGGACTGATCAGGACGCTCAGATGTGTTTGTGCGCTCTTCTCAGGCTAGGTCTTAAGGGGGGCGCTAAGGACTGGGATTGGGAGCCCGTACCAGGGTCTCGACCACAAAATGTGCACAACAGTTCTATCTTTTAGGAAGAAGTCCGACCACGACCCCGGTTTTTATAAACTAAATGTTTCCATTTTTCGTCGAGAATCGTTTAGACGATAAATTCCGGAGTGCTGGGCGTTTTGGCACACACACAAACATCACTTTCCGCTACAAACAAACTGATTTAATAATGGTTTTTTTAACCTGGGGAAAAAATGCCAAGAATTTTCAAAACAGCTCGCAACTAAAAGCTACCAGCAGGAAATGGAGATTCATCAGCAACTACAGCTACTTGAACAGCAAGACGGAGCCGACCCCCTCTGCAACAACGCAGACAACAACCAACAAGAACAACTGAAAGAGTGCATATAGAGAAAGACCTTACAACAGCGCCTCCAATTCTTCGCATCACAACGCTGGGAGGGTGCACGCATCCGAGGAAGAATGACACGTCACCAAAAGGAAGGTTCCATGAACAAGAAATTCTCCAGTATGGCCCGGGCACGTATGGGTAGAACAAAGATAGAAGCGCTGTATGACCCACAGTCGGGTCACACAGAGGTGGCGACCTCCACTCCCCATTGCACACAAATAGCCAGATCCTTTTACAAAGATCTGTTTACCTCAAGGTGCGGTCAGAAAGGGGAGGAAGTCAGGTTGAAGGAAATTGCAGAATTCTTAAACCCGATGACGAAAAACTTGA